CTGGGAGCTCAAAGAGAACTCACTCATTACCAGGACAGTACCACATCATTCATGAAGGACCTGTCCCCATCACCCAAACACCTCCCATTAGGCCTGGCATCCAACCATGGGGATCACATTTCAATATGAGATTTGGAGGGGTCAAATAAACCATATCCAAACTACAGCAATGCATACTTCTCATTTCATCCCTATAACTTGCACTTTTTATTTATCAAATAAGATATTTTTATCTTCTGATTGATTCATAGCAACCTAATGAAAAAGTACCGATACTATCCTCATTTTATTTATTTGGTTTTTAGAGATGAGGTCTCGCTCTGTTGCACAGGCTGGAGTGCAGTGGCGTGACCAGAGTTCACTATAGCCTCAACCTCCTAGATCCTCTCACCTCAGCCTCCTGAGCAGTTGTTCTCCTGGTCTCAAGTGACTAGTGTCATTTTAAAATGAAATAAATTAGAATTTAAGAGGTAAATAAAATGCTCAAGTTAATAGATTCAGCTGATATATATGCAGACCTGGAATTCAAACTCCTACTCCTGGTTTTCTGACTCCGCAGTCAATAGTGTTACTAACAATACTACACAGTCTTCTCAATTTAACAATGATGGGAGCTGAGTAATAACACTTTTCCTTGTGAAAGTATGAGGAATCATATCATTTGATTGTTTAAGAATACAAATCCTCACTTGTGCAAGGCAAAGTTTAAAGGTGGGTCTAGCGTATAGAAGTTATTACTCAAGAGTCAGAAATAAAGACCGTCCTCTTGTTTGAGTCCAGCTTTTCATTCCAACAGTAGAGTGATGCTATATTTCTTTTTCTTTTTTGAGTCAGAATCTCACTCTGATGCCCAGGCTGGAGTGCAGTGGCTTTCTCATGGCCCCAGTGTCGACCTGCTGGGCTCAGGCGATTCTTACGTCTGTCTTCCAAGTAGCTGGAACTACAGGCACGTGCTACCACATCCGGCTAATTTCTTGATATATTGTAGAGAGGCAGTCTCACCCAGTTGTCCAGGTTGGTCTTGAACCCCTGAGCTCAGGCAATCCTCTCACCTCGGCCTGCCAAAAGTGCTAAGTTTACAAGCTTGAGGATGCATATTTCACAGGGTAATTGCTTAGTGGTGGAACATCTGTTCAGTATTTAAGGTAAAGAAATGCCTAAAAAGATGTAACATTACCAAAGAGACAATCTCTACTTTGAATACTAGAGCATTACATTTTATTTCTTTATTTTGTCATCTAGTAGATTTTGAGAGAAGAACGTGAAGTAGCTAGAAAGTCTATGAAGAATTTTATGATAGGCATTATGATGACCATTGTATCTTGCATAATTAGTTCTACTGAATTTTTAATGTTGCTGAAAATGTATGCTATAACTAGACTTTTTTAAAAAAATCTATACTTAAACTTTCTCTTAGCATTACTGCAGATCATCCTGTGTGTTACCAAACATTAGTTGGAAATAGTAGCTATAAACAGATAAAATTTGAGAAATATAAAAATAGTTATGCTTGTTACACAACTCAGCCTTTTTAGAATATGGCGCTGATTTTTACAAACTTTGCTTCATTCACCATCAAACATATGGCATTGTGGTTCTAAAAAACTATATCTTTGATCAGGATTTCTGTCATTAAATTTATATTTATCAAGCACCTCACACAATTCCCTTTATATTTTAATGCTTATTCCTTTCTGTTACAGAATGCTGCTTAGACAAAAATAACTATTAGAAAACTACAGGAATTATAAAAACTTACACAGAAAAATGGCTGCATAAAATAAATATTACAGAATTTCAACCAGAAATAGTTCTTAGTCAATTTTTATCCATTGGGATCTTAACAAGTAGGGCCTAGTTTGCCATTGCACATGCCAATGTTAGCTAATATTTCTTTTTCCAGAGTTAAGTTGAAAGATAAATTAATGTCACTTCGATTGTCGTGAGAAATTCACGTACCAATGTGAACAGAGAAGGGGAAGGGATAGTAGTATTAAAAGAGGGAGACAAGTGACAAAGACATTTTCCGATTCCTTCCTAATTGGTTAGTCTCTAATATAAACTTATTGAATGAATAGTTACGTATATGTTTGTTTTTCAACCATTAAGAACTGTCTCATACCTTTTGATGAGAGCTTTTAAATGAAATTAAAATGATTCTTAAAAGTCTGCAGCACAGACTTATCACTGCCTCTGATTTTCATTTAAAAAGAAAAGTTAGAAACAAATTTAAAAACCTCTGATGACACGTAATATTCTGGAAAGACCAAAGAAAATAATATTTTTGAATATTTGCAAGTGAATTTTAAGAGATAGTAGTTAATTTGAAAAACCTAATTAGGAATACTATATTTTCTTATAAACTATTGGTTATAGCATGACAAATAGCTCAGTATAAGTGAATTTAAGCACACATTGTATATATATTACATGAAGATAAAAATGTATAGATATGATTAGTGTCCCTCAAAAACAAACAAACAAACAAACACAAAACGCTGGAAACTTCAGACACATAGTAACTAACACACAATTTTAAAAACAAAATAAATGAAAACAGATATCATCTAAAAATTGTGTACAGTTTTGAATTTTACTTAAGTAATGAACTAAAACTGTAAAGAAATGATGTACTACATAATGGCATTAATACTATGCTAAAATGATTTGTAGAAGGCAGTCAATACAGAGATTCAGAAATATTTTATTAGCAATGCAGTGCACATTCACTGTAACAATCAGTTTTTATTTCAGTGTGGATTGTTAGAATTTCCCAAAGTTATTCTCCAGAGTTAACCATTTGAAACTCATTCATGTATTTTATTATGTATCCTCCAGCAAAGACTAAGAAGCAGGCAAGAAAAATGGTGAAAGGCAGCCTAATTACAGAAAATAGTTTATGCATTTTTATGTAGAAACATTTAAATTCCAATTTTGTGTTTTTGAAGAAGGATTGCTCTCACACATATTATTATTAAAGCTTTGCTGTCACAGTATTAATTTCCTAGGATTACTATAGCAAATTACCACACATTGGGTGACTTAAAATAGCAGAAATGTATTCCCTCGCTCCTCTAGGTGCTAGGAGTCCGAAGTTAAGGTATGGGCAGGGCTGGATCCTCCTGGGAGAATCCGCTCCATGCTTTCCTCCTGTCTTCTCGTGGTGCCTCTTGCCTCATCCATGTATCACTGCAATCTCTGTCTCCTTCTGCATGTGGCATTCTCTCCTGTGTCTCTGCTTGTCTTCTCTTTTTATAAGAATGTCAGTCAAATTGGATTAGAGGCCTGCTTCGTCCCAGTATGACCTCACCTTAACTATTTTCTCCTGCATTACAGAATTTCCAAATAAGGTCATATTTTGAGGCTTTGAGAAGAACATGAATCTGGGGGCATGGGGTGGAGTGTGGAGTGGGGAGGGACACTGTCCAAGTCAGGGCAATCAGTTTCTATTTAATAGTAAAGAAAAAAAAAGTCCATACTACACAGGATGCAAAAATGATTGATGAGGCTGGGTGTAGTGGCTCACAACTGTAATCCTGGCACTTTGGCAGGCTGAGGTAGAAGGATTACTTGAGCCAGTTCAAGATCAGCCTGGGCAACATAGTGAGACCCCATCTCTATAAACATGTTTAAAAAATAAAAAATTGATGAAATAAGTGAATGATTGTTGAATACAAGTGTGGTCTTTTATTTTCTAATTACACACATGGATGAGAACTGACCTTTAGGAATCTTTCGCATTCACAAGTATGTGTTACATGTAAAAGAGAAGAATACAAAATTCTTCAGGTAGAATTTAGGAGGCTACCCTAGGTGCATTCTTTCTTTTCTATGTTGAATATATTATTCCCTAGAGTTTTTTCTGATTCAGATTTCACTTTAAGACTGTTCATATTTAAATAAAGCCTGTAAAGTAAATGTGGTAAACAAGGCTGAAAAGTAAAGTCAAATATTCCAGAAGTAGATAAGTCTGAGGTAAATTCATGGATTTGATTCTTAACTGTTTTGCCATGTAGTTAATGTTGACGTTTCATTCACTTGGATTCACCAATTTAGAATTTGTGACCATCATGGAGACAATTTTTCCCTGTATTTGAGGAAATAGTTTACTGAGCAATTATGAGTACACACGATTTCAAGGATAACTGCTTGAGAGAACATTCATTATGTGCAGCTTATATCCGCAAGCCTCCTGCACACTTCGAGTGCCCTCTAACCAACTACTTCCTACTCATCCCTCAGGCTGCAATTCAAACATCATGTCCTTAGGTCTGGCTTCCTTCAAGAGGTCAAATCCCTGCTAGATGCTCGTATAGTACTATGAGCCACTTATGTGTAGCATTGGCCACTGTGTACATTTTATATTGATTTTATTTTTATTTAACTAACATCATTCTCCTCCACTAAATTATAAACTCCAAAGGACAGGTACTATGGGCCATTGACATTGGACTGACCTTTTTTTTCCTCCAATGACAAGTTCAGCACTTGCAGAGTAACTGATTAGAAGTACATAGTTATATACAAAAAGTTGGTATGTGAATTATGAATCTATCTCTTCTATTTGATGAAGCAACCTCTACCAAGTGTACTTTTCCTGAATAAAGTTTTACACTTATTCCTGTTATTATACCTAAGTAAAGAAATGAAGGGAGTATTGATTTTGCTATATTAAATAGATAGATTTCTATTTCAAATACCTTGGTTGAATTATTTGAATAGCTCAATTTAAAAATGCAGAATTCTGGGCAAATTTAAATATATAAATTCAGAATTTAGGGCATGCAGATATGGTTACAATATCTTTCTCTTTGACAGCTTGAGTTTACAGATTTAGATAAACGCAGTATTTTTTTAAAAAAATATTTACTGACTTTACCTGTACAATGGCCATTTGTATCCCTAACTCTAAATTGTACCCTACATCTTTAAAATTAAAATTATAAAATTATATATGTGTGTGTGTGTGTGTGTGTGTGTGTGTGTGTGTGTGTGTGTGTGTATACCCTGGCCAGAGAAAAGGTTGCATTTCAAAAGTCAAAAACAATGCAAAAGTAAACACATTTTTCCAGTCTTGTGATGTTGCTGCTCCTGGAGTTTCTGTGTCATGCTAATATTTCTTACAGTTTCTTTTAGAGAAAAAACATAATGCTAAATGCCATCAATTTCCAGACTGCCTCGCACTTAAAGCTGTATTAAGCTGTTCAAGAATGTTACATGAAAAAAAAAATTAGAAAAACTGGGAGAAAAAATTTGAAGAATAGAAGAAAGGTAACTTTCTCATAATTTGATAGCTGCTCTAAGCTTGGCTGAGCGCCCTCTGGGATTGTCTTGTACATCCTGATCTTCTGGAGTAAGTACCTTCTTATGTATCAATTCCCATGTTAGAGAAGCTCTTCTCATAGAAACTCCTCCTTCATTGTTTTCATGACCTGAACTCAGCTGTGATGTTTTTATCACCTTCTGTCTAACACTTAAGTTAAACCTTTCTGTCATGCTTATTCCAAGCAAGAATCTTTTGACGATGCGATCTTCTAGTGAATGGAAGGAGAGGGCAACGAGGCGACCACCTGGTCTCAGAAACTTCTGAGCTGTCTTTAGTCCTGTGTAGAGTTCATTGAGCTCATTGTTGACAAATATGCGAAGAGCTTGGAAAGTCTTGGTAGCAATATGGGTAGACCGCTGCAGCAAGTCTTTTCGTGCATAAAGAGCAGAGGGAGGAAATGCACCTAGGAATGGATTTTGTAAAGATGGGAAAAGAAGAACAAGCAACATTAATATTTTTCACTGTAAAGCTGATGAGTTGTGTAATGTGTGTGCAAATTTAAGGAAATACATTTTCTTAGAAAACTGGCACGTCATTCATACTGCCCCCTCTTATTTCTAAGCATTCTCCCAAGGCTTAAAACCATATGTCAGAAGTGTCTTTCATAATTCATAAGGATACCCGGAGTCAAACAAGGAGCAAAGAAAGAAGGGATGGACAAATATTTGAAGAAATAAGAATGAAAAATTCTCAACTTTGGTGAAGAACATTAACTCACAGCTACAAGAAGTTCAATATACCACAAATAGAATAAACAAAAAAGGCTGCATGTAGGCACATCATAATCAAACTACTACAGCCAAAGATAACAAGAGAAATCAGGACAACAGCAAAGAAAAACAATACATGACATTAAGGAGAACAAACGTATGATTAACAGCTAAGACACTGGAACAACACTCACAGTTTTGAGAAGAAAAATCTGTTTGCCAAGAAGGCTATATCCACCAAAATAATTATTCAAAAATAAAGGTTCAAAGACATTTTTAAATAAAAAGTGAGAAATTTCATTGCTCAAAGGTCTGTATTCAAAAAATGCTAACAAAAGTTTTTCATGCTGTATAAAATGATATGAGGTGATAACTTGGCAATAAAGAAAGGAATGAAGAGATAAGGTCATGTCTGAAAAACTCACAGCCAGCATAATACTCAGTGGAGAAAAACTAAAAGCGTTCCCCCTAAGATCAGGAATAAGACAAGGATGCCTGCTTCTACCACTTCTATTCAACCCAGTATTGGAGGTTCCAGTCAGAGCAACTGGAGAAGAAAAAAGGAAACAAAAAAACCAATCAGTTTGGAAAGAAAGAAGTAAAATTATCTCTATTCATAGATGCCGTAATCTTATATGTAGAAAATCCTAGTGATTACACACACACACACACACACACACACACACACACACACACACACACACATGAAATAATAAATATATTCAGCAGAGTAACTAGATACAAAAATCAGTTGTGTTTCTATATACAACAATGAACAAACATGAAAACGACATTGTAAAAATTTCACTCACAATAGTAAAAAAATAATCAAATGCTTAGTAATAAGTTAACAAAAGTAAAATTTATGCTCTTAAAACCATAAAACATTTTTGAAAGAAATTAAAGATCCATACATGAGTAAATGAAAAAATAGTCCATGTTTAAGGATTAGAAGACTTAACATTGTTAAGATGGCAATACTACCCAAATTGATTTATGATTCAATGCAATCCCTATCAGAATTTCAGCTGATTTTTTTGGTACAAATTGGAAAGTTGATTTTAAAAATACATATGGAACTGCAAGGAATCCAGAACAGCCCAGATGATGATGAAGAAGAAGGAGGAGGAGGA